GTCTTGTATCTTCAGACAAAAATATTTTTTATTTTTTTACTATATTTACATAATGAAAATCAAAAGACCCCCGGGCGGAACCAATTTTGACCCCAGGGCTATAATTTGAACAATCTTGGTAAAGGTTCACTTCGCAAAGTCTCATGCCACATATTTAACCTCTAGCCTATGTCAATTCAAAGAAGAAGATTTTTCAATTCAGAGAAGAAAACTTTTCAAGTTTGTACTTTATACATATAAGGAAAACTATCGCCTCTGGAGCAGGGCAATTTTAACACTAGGGGCATAATCAAAACAACTTTTGTAGAGGACCCATAGATGATATTATATACCAAATATCAAAGCTCTAAGCATTGTACCTTCAGACAAGAAGATTTTAGAATTTTTTACTATATGTACATAGTGAAAATCAATGACCCCCAGGGGTGGGGCCAATTTTGACCCCAGGGCTATAATTTGTACAATCATGCTCGAGGTTCACTACACAATGTTTCATACAAAATATCTAACCTCTAGCCTTTGTAAATTTAGAGAAGACAATTTTTAAAGTTTTTACTAAATACATATATGGAAAACCTATGACCCCCGGGGCGGGGCTAATTTGACACTAGAGGCAAAATTTGATCAACTTTGGTAGAGTTACTATAGACAATATCAAAAACCAAATATCAAACATCTAAGCCTTGTACCTTCAGACAAGAAGGTATTTTAAGTTTTTACTATATGTACATAATAGTGAAAATCAATGAACCCCGGGGGGGGGCGATTTTGACCCCAGGGCTATAATTTGATAAATATTGGTAGAGGTCTACCAGACAATGCCATATGCAAAATATCTAATTTTGACACTAGAGACAAAATTTGAACAACTTTGGTAGAGTACCTATAGATGATATCATTTAACAAATATTAAAGCTCTCGGCCTTGGTAACCTTCAGATAATAAGATTTTTTGATTTTTTTACTATTATGTATATATTTGAAAATCAATGACCCCTGGGGCGCGGGCAATTTTGACCCCAGGGCTATAATTTGAACAATCTTGCTAGAAGTTCACTTCTCAATGTTTCATGCAAAATATCTAACCTTTAGTATTTGTCAATTGCTAGAAGAAATATTTTTAAAGTTTTATTATAAGTTTTTACTATATACATATAAGGAAAACCAATGACCCCCGGGGCGGGGCAGATTTTGACCCTAGGGCTATAATTTGAACAATCTTGGGAGAGGTCTACCAGACAATGCCTTATGCAAAATATCTAAGCTCTAGGCCTTTTGGGTCTTTACAAGAAGGTATTTTAAGTTTTTACTATATGTACATATAGTGAAAATCAAAAGACCCCCGGGGCGGGGCCGATTTTGACCCCAGGGCTATAATTTGAACAATCTTGGTAAGGGTCTACCAGACAATGCCTTATGCAAAATATCTAAGTTCTAGGCCTTTTGGGTCTTTACAAGAATGTATTTTAAGTTTTTACTATATGTATATATAGTGAAAATCAATGACCCCCGGGGCGGGGCCGATTTTGACCCCAGGGCTATAATTTGAACAATCTTGGTAGATTTTTTAAGTTCACTATATAATCTATATAACACACACACACACACATACAAACAAACACACACACACCAGTCTTCGCCTTAATTTTTTATCAGCACTAGCCCAGTCGGGCTAGCAGCTTACAAATTTCACTAGCCCAAACACATTTTAACTAGCCCGAACCAAAATTGTATTTTTTGCATACATTTTGTACAAAAATAACACTTTCTATGTTTTATATACCATTTAACATTATTAAAATATCAACTAATCAACTTTTCTTCCTTTCAATATTTAAATAATAAGAGTTTAAACTACATATGAAAAGAAGATATTTTGATATTTCTGTGGCGTGGCATTGTCCACAGACACTGAAAAAAATTGTTTAAAAACTGAAAATACTCTTCTCCTCGTTTACTGTAACCATGTCGGCTGATACATGCATTGACGACATATTTATATTCCTTTTCGTATTACTTTTTTTATTTTTGGTGTGTTCCTTTCTGGCTTACTGCCTTCAAAACTACAAGAGAAAAGACATATTGTGCAGCATGAGATGACGCCTAATAAATGTCTAACAATCAATAATATTTCATAAGTGTTTTAAGTTCAATAAAGCTGCAAATAATTTTTAGGGCCAAGGTGGTTTACCCATCAAAATCTAGAGTAAAATGAAAATTCTGGGGTAAAATTTATAAAAAGACTAAATGCATTGTTTTGTTATCAAATTCCATTGCCTTCTAAAAAGTTCCTTTCTTTACAATTACATACATGTGACATCCCGGCGGGATTTAAAAAAATCCCGATATTTCAACACTGATCCCGATTCCCAATATTACAGCTTGAATTCCCGATATTTAAAAAAAAATCAACATAAAAAAAAAAATCAAACACAGCACCTGTATCTAAAATGTAAACCGTGCCTCCGGGCATTGATTGTTATCTGTCCATATCCTAAATTATTAAAGCGGATTAAATGTTGAGTCGCTAATTGACAGCAAGGTGACGTAATAAACAGTTACAATACCCAAAGTTATTCTCACATGTTTAACTTATCACGTGTCGTGTGTCAGTCAATTGACCTCTTTTGTAATTTGGCAGTAGGTATTACACGCTACGTCATCAAAACTACCCTGTAAATTTACATGTATGATTTCGGCTCAACCTTTGATTTTCTTTGATTAGTGCCGCACTGATAAAGATAAAAGGGGAGCAGAATCATCTGGATCATTCAAAACCTGTTTGAGATGTCTAATTAACCTATTTTTAGTGAGTGGGTAATTTTTTGTTTTGTTTAGGAATTACGCAATCATCAGGCAAAAATGTGGATTTAATAACAGAACGATTCTTGCATTTATTTTGAGTCTTTTACTTATGTTAAGTTATTTAACTGTCATAGTCTTATGTTTATGAATAGTTGTTGCACGTTTTCAAATAGCTTGTGTTTAATTATTGAATGACTGAAAAGACATTATAATTCTTCAAACTGAAAATAATGAAATGTGAAAGTGTGACTGTTTTAGAAATAGCCAGTATGACTACACTTATTTATTTATCTATTTATTTATTTTTTTGGTGAAATAAATTAATATTGATCAACAAAAAAATCATAAAAAGTATAATCATTTAATGATTTTGAGGGTAATATAGATTCTTTGAACCAAATGTGCCAAACACACACTGAAATTCGAGTCGATAAAAAAATCCAGTTTTGAGCCTCAAAATCCAGCTGAAAATCCAGATTTGGCCCATTTCATTTGTCACATGTATGCAATTAAATCAGACTGACTAACTCCCAAGAGTTACCTTCCCTTTTTACTCAATGTCACTTCCTGCTACTTTCATTTTCAACTTACAGCAGTGTTGACAATAGTACTTTTAGTTTTCCATCCAATTCAGCAGAAATATATTGTATTTTCATAAAGCCAAAACATTGCTATCTGAAGCTCTGCATATTTCCAACATTTTCTTAATTTGGATATGAAAAAAGCCCTCGACCAGACGGGCTACCAGCTTGGAATTTTCACTCGACCACTCGCAAATTTACTCGACTCGGTCATTGGTCGAGTGGGTTAAGTTGAAGACTGACACACACAAACAAGTGAATCGCTATATGCCACCGCATCGCAGATGATGCGGTGGCATAAAAAATTCTAAGACGCATTTATTTTGCTACACGACTCATTGATTTTGCTAAAGGACTCATTGTTTTCAAACATGTGCGTCATCTGACGCATTATAAGGATTTTCTAGATTAATCACTGGGTAAGGGAAAGCCTCTTCCCAATTAAGTGAGAAAAATCACTGGGGTAGACTTTTGGCTAGCAATACAGGCCTGTACTGGCATGCGAGCAGTTCCCGTACAAAAATCGTAGTAACTTAAACATTATTTTTTATTACGCTCACTCACCACAATTTGAATGTTACACATCAATATTCAGCTCGTCACACAAATAATGGAAATTCCATGATGTTCTAAACATAGAACAACCCTTAGTTATGAGGCCTCATATGGGGTACCGAAATTATCCATTTTTTGTATGAAGAGAAGTAGTTCCCATACATAAAATTCAACCCATTATAATTATACAAGTTCGTTATATCGGACCTATTTTTCATTTATAATTATTGAACAGAGCATTTTCTAAGAGATAACTAGATGTAATTCAGGAAATAGAGCGTAGACTAAACGCTGGTATCTATTACCCGGTACCGTTACCCCAACGCATTCAAATGCAATAGCATGCTTGTATGCATGATATTTTACGCATCAAAGCCATAAAATTATTTAATATTGTAATATTGGCCAAAATTCTGATAATTAAAGAAGTTTTCATCATATTGCCTACTTATCTGTAAACAGTGGAAAACCCTTTAAAAGGCCTCACATGTCAGTATTTTTGCGCATGCGCGCAAGGACGGAATCCCCCAGAGAAAACAAGGTCACGTTTTGACAACGCACAGGTGAAAGTGATTTAAAATGAGACTTTTTATACGTACTGCCGTACTGACACTTTAATTTTGTCTCGTTTATGCATCTGCTTGATTTGAATTGATTTTTTGAAGAATTCATGTAAAAATCAAGCGTTTAAATGAAAAATACGGATACTGCTTCTGTACGGGAACTGCTCGCATACCAGTACAGCTAGTCAAGTGCTGTCTTTTTTCAAAGTGGCCTGGTTATTGAATCTAGTAATATATTATAGTAATCTTGTGACAGTTTTGCAAGGCTTTCTTTGCTCAGAAGAAAAGAAATAACACCTTATTTGAAGGACTATGGCGAATCGTCTCTAATATTGTGAGAATCGTTATACATGTGCCGAATCATTTGAAGGGCGAATCGTTATCTTAAATCTAAAGCAATAGAGCAAGGTCATTTGCATGACAAGCTAACTAATCTAGGTAGTGGCCTTCTTACTTCTTTATGCAGTGAGTTTTCTTTTGGTTTTTATACAACCTACCTTACTATTCAATAAAACCTTTGACAACATTTTACGGTTTTTCCGTCACAGTGTTAGGTACAAAGACACTAAATTCTATACTATTCTCCGGTGGGTTTCTCCGGTCTCAGGTCTCTTCCAGTCTATTTCAGTAGGTGCCGATCATTTACTAATAATAATTAATAATCATTTGTATAAAAAATACGTTGATTTTAAATGTGAAAAGGTGTTGATATCATATTTTACGCATACTGTATCATGTTTTGGTGCTGTTGTTTTTTTGTCTCACAATGTCAATACGCTTTGGGATATGCTAAATGTTTTTCAGTTAGCGATACGTGTGGATAGAGGTTAGTTTTTGGGCTTTCAATTGATAATTTTATGTATGAAAAACATTTTTCTCGCTAATGTTACTTATGGAACAAAAAAAAACTTAATTTACGAATTATTTTTAAAAAACATCTTGGTTTATTTAAACATTAAACCTTCTGGACGCTTAGTCGGCACACGAAAACCAGTGGCAAGGAGCCCAGGCAGACCCCAAACAAAAAACAGGATAGAGCACTAGGCAAAGCATGGACTATAACTAAAATGGTAAATAATATGTAACTGATAAGAAATTGTAAGAAAACAAATAAAAGATTGAATAATAGGAAATAATTGGTAACTGACAAGGAATTCAAAGAAAACAAATAAATGATTGAACAATATGCCCACAAAGGCATAGGGGAAGGGGACCCGGAGAAGGGGGGGGGGGGTGTAGACGTAAAGGTATATTTATTAGCGATATGTCAGTTAAGAGGTTTATATTTAGGGGTTTGAAATGTGTCATTTGGAATATTGAATATTGTTACTCGAAAGTTAGTTTAAAAAAATGATGGAAAGAGTAAACTGCATGATTTGTTGGATTTATAGGGAATTTAATCAGGGAAGGGATTGGCCTAATATTAATACAATATGAGAAACAAAGAGGGGAAAAGGGTAAAAAGTAGTAAAAGTGATGATAAACAAAATCTGAGTAAATTATCAAAATACATTGCCATCAATCTCCCAACTCTATTCTGGGAGGGGTTAAAATATTTGGTAATCTTGAGAGATGAAAGAATCGTTATTATATATGCAGGCGCAATCAATTAATGCGCAATAATTTAATTTTTGGTAGGATTAAAAAGGTATATATAGTAAATGAAAAATCAGAAAAATGAAGTCCTTTTGAGAAATTTCATAGTGGAAAAATTACGGCTCACATAAGATTTGGTGTCATGTTAAAACCTCAGACCAATGAAAATATTCTGTACAAAAATAAAGCGTAGCAATCAGCTGCACAAGTTACTTTCATTATTTGACATATCGGAAAAAAGTTCGTTATAGTGTTGCGGTTCAGAACTGTTCACTATTGGGCGCCAAATGCCACAGATTGAGAAAAATCTGCAGCCTGACCGGGTCTCGAACCCGGGACCCTCGGAATACCGTTCCGCGGCTCTACCGACTGAGCTATCCGGCCGCTTACACATCTTCTCCCCTAAACAGTTCAGAGCCGTGACATAGTTTCATATGATTATTTGATTGAACAATGCGCAATACAAAAAAATATTCATTTATTTTGAATAAACTGGCGTTCAGTCGGGTAATTTTCACAAAAACTCCGTGGTCACATCTGTTGACCTACATGTAGACATGCTATGACTTCGAGATTGAATATCTACTTATCAGTGATAGGTTTTGGGTTACAAAGCCAGTGAAGGTAACTCATGTTGTTTTTCTTTTAATTTTTAAAAATGTTTTAGCCAAATAAACATTGAATTGAATCAGTTTTGCAATTAGCCTTATAGCCAATTTACTACAGTTATAACACTGGAAACAGCATTGCTGGCACTATACAAAAACAAATTGATTTATAATCTCACAACCTTCACCTTTCTGACATTTTGAGACCCAAACAAACTCAGCGCCTTCTGTGCTTTGATTTATCATTCTTGTCAGTTTAGAATGGTGTCTATGAATGAGTTGTATACTTAGGATGACGATTTGTCATATAAATGTTATGAACTGATATGGATCAAACATGTGACGGTAGTGTATGTTAGATATTATTTTAGCATTATAGGAAAAGAAAGCATTTTTAGAACGTAAAATATTAATAAAAATGCGTTATTATTGTTGCCTTGAATTTTTTTAAAACTATATTGTCGAGGGAGATAAATAACAGCCGCAAAAGCATATAATCCATAGCAGTTTAACAACGTTTTTATAGTGATAAAACGCGAGGATTGTTAGAAGTGTTATGATTATATTATACGTTAATGTCTGAAGATATGTAAAAGCATTGAAAGCGCTTACAGAAAAAACGTAAAACGTATTCTGCATTCCCTTAACCTATTGTTAATATATAAGACCCACACAAGGAATAAAACTTATTATTTCAGGACTTCATATATATATCATTGATACATGTATATCATTGAGTGGCTCATGTCCAAGCTTGTTTATATGTGTCATACAGAGCCATATATGACCTCTGAGAAAATACCAAATATTTAACATCTTCCAAGAAAAAAATTAAATAGCTGCAGTAGTCTTTTGTATGGCCTTGTGTAAATTCTTAAATGTTTATTGCCCAGATTATTTTATCTCGTCCAGAAAAAAATACCAAATGTTTAGTTTCTATTAGCAATTTTATTATGTCTCGTACATAACCACTTATTGCCCAGTGAATAACTGTAGAAAATGACTGTAAATTGTGTCTTGCCGAAAGTGGTCACTTTTTTCAAAAACATTTCTCAAACAAAAACCAAAAACAAGTGTTGGGGGCCTAAATAAGGCATTTTTCAGCATTTCAGACAACAAAGGGGGGGGGGGGGTGAAAAAGGCGTTAAAAGGCGTGTATATCGTTAAATATGTTTCCAATCACTTTAAAGGCACATCTTTTTTCACATGCTTATAAGTTGATAAAATGGTCCAAAGCGGGAGTGAAACGTCTTTAAAACGTTTCACTCCATATTCTATTATAAAATAAATTTGACCAATTTTGATTAGATAAAATTTCTTAATATGAAGGTTAAGCATAGTTTGATTTATATATGGTCATAAAACGGTATAGATGGATACCAAAAATAAGTTATTTTCGCAAAAATAGTTAATAGTTAATATAAGTACGTGAAAAACTTATAAATGAAGGCGAAAAATAAACATTAGACAAGGCAATACAAATTGCACAAAATTACGAATATTGCCAAAAACAGATGGCAACCATGGGGGCAGCCGCGCAACAACCAATTGACGCTGTTAAGACGCAAAGGCATTATAGAAGAAAACAATCAGCAAATGGACCCACTAAGAAGGGAAGGATGCAAGGACATGGATCACAAAATGTTTGTGGGCGTTGTGGCACGGGACATGGCCAGAGAACAAACTGTCCGGCAAAGGGGGCTACATGCTATAAGTGTAACAAACTGAATCACTTTTCAAAGCAGTGCAAATCACAGAAAAACGCTTTAAGTGTCAATCAAATAGGGGACAATAGTGACATTGAAAAAAACTTGAACAATGCAGTTGATGGATACTCAATTAATACGATGAGTACTAGCTTACATTCTCCAGACTGTGTTAAAACCGAAATTTGTCTTGGCCCAAACAAATGCCCAATATCATTTAAAATTGACACTGGCAGTGCTGCAAACATATTCATTTGAATATCCCACTTGAGGCCCCTGGTTGCAAATTAACCTCATATACAGGTTAAGCACTTTCAATCCTAGGAACACTCATGTTGACCTGTTATTTAGGAAATCAGTCAATGATTGCAAAGTTTTATGTGGTAGATAGAAATGCATCCCCTCTCTTAGGCTTGCAAACGTCATTAAACATTGGCCTGATTAAGCTCACATTTTCGGTGGAACACTCCCTCCCTGACAAGAATAAAACATTTCTAACCACAAAAATAGTCATAAAAGAATACAGTGACCTATTTTCTGGTATTGGAACTATTGATGGTCAGTACGTGCAGTTTGCATTTAAAGGAAAATGAAGTACCGACTATTTACCCACCACGTAGAATACACGACGCCTTAAAAGCACGTGTAAAATCAGAGCTTGACAGAATGATTGAAGACAAGATTATCATAAAAGTCATTGAGCCTACTGATTGGGTTAATTTCCTTGTCGTTGTAGAAAAGTCCAAAACTGGCGCATTACAAATATGCCTTGACCCTAAATCATTAAATGAGGCAATTCGTAGACCGCATTTTCCCATGCCTACTTAGAAGATATTATATCAAAACTTAACGGCGCATCAATGTTCAGGATTCTTGATATAATGCATGCATATTGGACCTTACAGCTTACAGTTCGTCAATGCTAACTACGAGTCTAACACGCCGTTCGGAAGATATAGGTGGCTTAGACTTCCGTTTGGTATATCGGCTTCCGGTGACTTATTTATGCAGAAAATAAGCGAAGGACTATTGGGCGTAACAGCAATAGTCGACGATATTCTTGTATACGGTCGAACACGATAAAAATCTAAAGCACGTGCTTGAGCGCGCACGAGAAAAGGGTGTCAAATTGAACCCAAAAACATGCAAAGAAGTACCATTTTCGGTCATGTAATAAGCAAGGATGGTCTTAAACCAGACCAGTCCAAGTCAAAGCTATAAACGAAATAGGTCCTCCAAATACTATGCATTTTAAGGTATGGTTACCTTGCAAAATTTGCGCCAAATCTCGCGGATGCGACAGCTCCCCTCAGGAGCCTCTTGAGAAAAGATGGCGAATTCTGCTGGGAAGAGCAACATGATAAAGCCTTTCAAAAGGTGAAACACATAATGTTTGAAGCACCTGTGTTAGGTTATTATGACCCGAAAGCACCACTCACACTAGAGTGTGATTGCTCGAAGGACGGAATAGGCACGTGTCTCATACAAAATGGCAGACCGATTGCATATGCGTCGAAAAGTTTAACCGAAACTGAAAAGGGTTATGCTCAAATAGAGAAAGAGTTATTAGCCATATTGTATGGATGTACTCGTTTTCATCAATACACATACGGGAGACATGTGACTGTACACTCAGATCACAAACCAATCGCTGTTATAATAAAAAAACCACACCACCTACATGTAGACTGCAGAGAATGTTGTTACAATTACAAAAGTACAACATTAAAGTTATCTATGTTCCAGGCAAACACATCCCGGTCAGTGATTGCTTATCTCGACAATGTATATCAGATTCGCAGTCAGAAGTAGTTCAAGGACTTGACACACATGTGCACACTGTAAGTAAACAACTCCACTTCACTGATCAAAGATCGCAAATTATCTCATAAATAACAAGCAGTGATAAACAAATGGTCTGTTTAAAACAAACTATCATTGAAGGTTTCCCAGAGGAAATATCAAGGTGCCCATCAGATATACTTGAGTTCTGGAACCATAGGGATGAACTAAGTTATGAAAATGGTCTTATATTTCGAGGTAAAAAAAGTGTTATTCCAAAATCACTCCGCTCTGAAATTATAGGTCAAATACACACTGGGCATTTTGATGTAAACAAAACGGTTGAGCGTGGGAAAGAAAATTTCTTTTCGCCAGGTATGATTAAACAAATCACAGAATTTGTTTTACAGTGTAGTACTTGTCTCTCGTATCGTAATTCAAATGCAAATGAACCGCTAATAAGTCCTGAGTTTCCTGATAGACCGTCGCAGAAAATTGGCACAGATTTTTTAGTCCAACAGTTCTTGAAGTCATTGAACACACGCGTGTCTCTTATTTCTCATTAGAGTTATACGTTGTCTACTTGTGATATACTCACATACAAAACCACATAACATTACAGAATATAATTACAAGTATTGTGATTTCTGCATTTTAAGTTTGTTAACCTTTTCCCTTATATAAGCGTGTTTCGACGGCTTTTTGCCCCCCCCCTTTTTTGAGGCCTCAAACAGTGAAAAAATGCCCTACTTAGACCCCAAACACTGTTTTTCGTTTGAGAAATGTTGTTAAAAAAAGTGACCACTTTTTCGGCGCCGTCCCCCATCCAAATATTACATCAGGGGGTCGCCAGAAGGGAGATGTGCCCCCCTTCTGTTTGGGGGGGGGTTGAAGGGGGCGGAGTCCCCCTCATCGCCAAAAAAATTTTGGACATGTGACAGGCTAAAAATGGCCTCAGGTGGATCTTAGGGTAACTAGTAACCGACGCTGAAAAGCCTTTTACTCTATCTCAATTCATGGAGAAGTTGCAGCACTTTGAAATCAGTTTTGATGGAAAAAAAACAACAATGCAATATAGTGATTTTTGGCAATTTTGAGATGTCCCCCCGTTGCCATGGTAACAGGAAATTTACCATTGAGCATGCTGTTACAGAGGCTATGGTGTAGTCAACATTTGTGCCAAGTTTCATTAGTATTGAAGCATTTTTCATAGTTTCCTATCAGTTTGAACTTGTTACAGGAGGCTTTTAAATGAAAACGGCCATTTTTCGCAATTTGCTCATGGGGTAAAAGGTTAATAAATAACTCTAAATATATTTAAAACTTAAGTTAAATTAATTAACCGTTCATTACATACAATAAGAAATAAATAGTTGACGTTTAATCGCCTTTCATTACGACAATAATCAACACAAATATAGTTTATTAGTTTTCCCTATATATCTAATACGATCCCGTATCAAGGGCGTCCCGGATCCCGGGATTTTACCCCCTCGTCTCAAACTTCACTTTTTAAAATATATTTTCTTTTTTGGTTCTCAAATTTATCATGCAAATCATTTATTAACAACAAATGATATGTGTACTGTATTTTAACAACCATATAGCACTCCTGCATAATTACATCAATAACAATTATCACTAGCATCAAAACTGTCTCAATTTTGTAATGAATTATTTTTGATTTAAGTGCAAGTCTCAGTTAATAATCTTGTAATTTTTGGCTAATAACATTATTTTAACCAAAATAGGATTTTTCATAAAAATAACTTTAGGGCCGATTCGACTAGTTCTGAGGCCGATTTGATTAGTTTTGGGGCTGATTTGACTAGTTTTGGGGCCTATTTGACTTTTTAAAATTGTTGTGTGATCGATTTGACTAATTTTGAGGCCGAATTGACTAATTTTGGGGCCGATCTGACTAATCAAGGACCAACCTTCCATTTTTTTAATAAAGTTTACAAAGACAAATTAATTTACATTAAGTCCGACAACTCGTAAATAATCAAAATCTAAGGAAATAATCCCTGCACAATAGGATCCACTAGTTAGTTGAAATATCAATTTTGAATCGTTTCTAAAAAATCAACGGCATTATATTCGATTAACCTATGATGAATATCGTCAATTCCCACAAGAAATGAGTCTTGTTAAAATAGCCTGAATTCAATTGTCCATGATATAAAAAAATAATTTAAAAGAAAAATAAAAAATTTGATAAAAAAAAAAAACAACATCAAAATTACTATTTTGGTTAGTGTAAAAAAATTCAAAAAAAATTTTTTTTCCTAGATCTCAATACCATTATACGAAAGGTATCCTAGTCGCCGTAACGCTAGTTTAATGTAGAAATCAATCAACAACCATATAGCACTCCTGCATAATTACATCAATAACAATTATCACTAGCATCAAAACTGTCTCAATTTTGTAATGAATTATTTTTGATTTAAGTGCAAGTCTCAGTTAATAATCTTGTAATTTTTGGCTAATAACATTATTTTAACCAAAATAGGATTTTTCATAAAAATAACTTTAGGGCCGATTCGACTAGTTCTGAGGCCGATTTGATTAGTTTTGGGGCTGATTTGACTAGTTTTGGGGCCTATTTGACTTTTTAAAATTGTTGTGTGATCGATTTGACTAATTTTGAGGCCGAATTGACTAATTTTGGGGCCGATCTGACTTGGAGTCGATTTGACTAGTTTGCATCAAAACATACCGGGAGAGATCGGAGACCGGAATCGACAGGACCCCCCCCCCCGATTTAGTGTCTTTATACCGGTTAGCAGTCCTGTAACGAAAATGCAGAAATCAGACTCATTGAAAGTGGATTCAGCTTCAGTAAAGTTACATTTATTTTAGTTAATCTATTCTTAACATATATCCGGGGTTCTATTATATTGCGGCACTTAACCGTTAATCGGAATATCGATAGAGTATCGCCACATAAGGAAAAGAGTCAACTCGGCCCTATACATCTGCCTCTGGTGCACAGGTGCTCGTCCAGTCTTGGTGCCCATATAAAAAAATGAAGTTTGAAAAAAAAAAAACAACATCAAAATTACTATTTTGGGTTGAGTGTAAAAAAAAAATTGAAAAAAATTTTTTTTTTTCCTAGATCTATATACCATTATATACTACGAAAAGGTTACCTAGTCGCCGTAACGCTACGGCATACATGTGAACTCTCCCACTTTAAGCGGGAGACTCCCACTTTCTGCAGCTATATTTTCAAAGATTTTTCTTAAAATAAGGGGTATTTTCACAAATTACAGAAATCTCCCTATTTTTGATGTCAGAACTTCCTTCTTTGTTTATTGCAAATTCTAAAATCTCCCTCTTTTTGAAGAAAAATCTCCCACTTGATCATCCAAAAATGGTCACATGTATGCTACGGAGCTTTACTAGGACACACTGTGGAACAACCACAATGTCGAGTTCTGTAACAATAAAAGCTATTTTGCTACTCTTTACACATTGTGCATTTAGAAAATTGTTAACATTCTTATTGTACCTTACATACAATCTTAAATAACTTACATTTAAACTCGGACACTCCAATTTGTTAAAATTTTGCAAAACAACAGTGATTGTCGGCCATTTTGTCGAAATCGAAAGTACAAATCATACACCGTACTGTTTCGCTGTTCTGGTCCCCTACGACTACGTTCGCTGAACAATAGACAACAGTAACCAATAAATAGATGGTTACCGTTGTCTACTGTTCCTCGCACGTAGTCGTAGGTAACCAGGAGAGCGGAACAGTACGATGTATGTTTTGTACTTTCGTTTTTGACAAAATGGCCGACCATCAACAGAATTTTGCAAGATTTTAACAAATTGGAGTGTCCGAGTTAAAATGTAAGTTATTCAAGATTGTATGTAAGGTAGGTGAAGAATGTAAACAATTTTCTAAATGCATAATACGTAAAGAGTAGCAAAATAGCTTGTATTGTTACAGAACTCGACATTGTGGTTGTTCCACAGCGTGTCCTAGTAAAGCTCCATAGCGTTACGGCGACTAGGTGACCTTTTCGTAGTAATGGTATATAGGGAAAAAAAAATTCAAATTTTTTTTTCTTACACTCAACCCAAAATAATTATTTTGATGTTGTTTTTTTTTTCAAAAACATTTTTTTTCATATTTTTTTTTTAAACTCCACTTTTTTTATATTGGCACCAAGACTGGACGAGCACCTGTGATCTGGTGCAGCGGAAATTCACATATCATTTTTACCGATGCTCATTTTTGAGATTCATATGGGGTTCCACCCCCGTGCTGTTTAGCCTCTGGATTAGCAGAAATATAGGTCTTCTAAACCTTAGCCAGCTTAATAACGGGTACCATACCAGCAGCTAACAAATACTGAATATCATGAAATAGACGGTCATGAGACCGAGAATGTTTATCCATGACTTTCCAAATTTCACACAATTAGCTGGTACTGGATATTTATCAAAAAGTTCATCACTGTCACAAAAGCAAGGTACTGGCAGTATTAATAAGTTAAGCTAAAGAGGAAAAAATTGTCTTACCTTTATTTCTCTACTTAAGTTTTGGCAGTCCTCAATCTTCATCATCACTAATATGACACCCATAATGTTCTTGCCAAACATTGAAAAACTGGGGGTCAAAATTGGCCCCATCACAGGTTTTTTTTTCTATATAATACATACATAATACATGTAGTAGAAATTTAAGAAATCTCTTCTCCAAATATACAAGATCTAGAGCTTAGATTTTTGGCATTTAACATTGTCTACACGGAAGAGAATCATGCCCTTTGTTACCCAAACAAACAAGATGGCAGATGCAACCGAAAAGTAAGTTTTTCTGTTTTCTCTGAAATTCGTCATGTTCTAGTGTAATGTTCATATAATAACCTTCTCCACAATTTTCCTGGCACACATGATTTCATTTCATTGATTATTGTCCCGTACTTCATCTAAAATGCTCATCACCAGATTCGAAGCGAGAGAATTTTCCACCAGTTTGATCATGGTAACGTATGGCTCCTTCTCTAAAATTCACTGTTTCATTTACATATATGTATATTAACTGAAACCATTGACTTTAAAAAGTTGTAATTTGTTGTCATCTAAGCATTCATGCATTCATGCCCATTCTGGCTAAAATCAGTTAGTTTTAAATAGAAAAGTTATGTTTATCGCCAAGGTCTTTCCAGAGAAAGAAAAAAATGCTCGGATAAAATGAGCCAGTGGGCATGCTCTGGAGTGCTGGTAACTAATACCTGCACTCAAGTTAACGCACTGTGCATGTATGTGTATACGATTTAACTCTGACATGTTTTCAACAGAAAGGTCTTAATTAATTTGTTTTAATGGCTCCTGTCGAAGTAGAACAGCACGGATGAACACTTACATATGCTTCGTAAATACTATTTTCATAGAAGCATAGTAATTTTACACCCGTTCTTTCATAAAGATAATGACGTCATCTGAGCGTATGAGCTGTCTGGCATTAAAGGTTTCAGACGGGTTTTCCGGCATGGATAAAAACATCCAAATCAAACTCCAATTTGAAAACTTTATATTTCATAGTCGGTAAAATGTTTACCACTAGAAATTAATAAATTTCAATGTCACTCTTTTATTGCTGATACCTACAATACTTTTTTTTAAAGAAATTGATTGTTTTTGTTGGGGAGTTTGTGGAAAAACACCAGAAAATGATAGGCAAATTCCTGAATTGCATGTAATTGTTTTGATCAAATTATGACGTTCATTTCATTTAAAATATAAAAAAACTGTATGGCTATCTGGCATCAAAGTGGCACAACTCAACACTAAATGGTAGCGTTTCAATAATAACCGCCCATCAAATAAATAGGAAATATCTTATTTACTTAATTTATCGAACTTTTTTGCTTAACATTATTTTTTTAACTCATCCAATAAATTCAATTTAGAACCTACACTCATTCATTGTTCTCTGTTATTTTTATGCCCCTGGGCATATAGTAATTGAACGGTCTGTCCGCCAGTCTGTCTGTACGAGGTTAACATGGAACGGCAAGTTGGATTTTTCTTAAGTTCTACCTGTACCAATGGCTTCATAATTTACACACTTACTAATCCATACAAAGTATTTGATCTGGGCAAGTTACATAACTATGGCTTCCATTTGCACCAAGTTATGGCCCTTTTCAGCACTTAGAAAATGAATAATGGTTAACCTAAACGGCAAGTTGGAAATATCTTATGTTCTATCTGAACTAATGGCTTAATAATTTTCACACTTACTTATCAATACAATGTACATGATATTGCCAAGTTATATAAATGTGCCATCCATTTTCCCAGTAATTTCCCTTTTTACACTTTGAAAATAGGGCCTTGTATTGTTAACCTATTCCGCCAAGTTGGATTTATAAAAAAATTTCACATAATTACTTAATTTGTTTAATGATATCTTTCATATTTGGTAGGTGGATACCTTTAATGGTCCTCTAATTTTTGTGGCGTTAGGCGTCTCTAGGTCAAGGTCACTTGTGTAAAAAAAAATAATCTAAACATTTCTGCTTATACAGCCTTTATTTTTAAGTTAATGTCTTTCATGTTTATAATATTCATACCAAGGGAGGTCCTCTTCCTTTTCCTTTAGTAAGGGGTCATTTGGGTCAAGGTCACCAATGTCAAAAATAGATTTTTTACACTTTTACAGGTGTATTAACCTTATTCTATCGACAGATGTCTTGTATATTTTGTAGGAACATAAAATTGAGGTATTCTCATTTGGATGGAGTCTGTTGGGTCAAGGTCACCAGTGCTAAAAATAGATTTTTACACTTTTGCTCATACAGCCTTTATTTATTGACAGATTTGTATTATGATTGGAAGGAAGATAATTTACATGATATTCTTCCTTTGGACAATGTTAGGGGTCAGTTAGGTCAAGGTCAACAAGGCTAAAAATAGATTATTACACTTTTGCCCATACAGCCTTTATATATTGACAGATTTATTTCATATTTGGTAGGAAAATAAGTTGCATGATATTCTTCCTTTGGATGGAGTTAGGGGTCAGTTTGGTCAAGGTCACCAGTGCTAAAAATAGATTTTTTACACTTTTGACCATTCTGCCTTTATCTTAAATATTGTTACTGACAAGAATCTGAGCCGGGGGCATTTGTGTTTAACAAACACGTTCTTGTTTATTTTCTTTTATATGTACCTTTACACAAGAACATCATGAATTTCAGAGAAGAAAAGGAAAAACTTACTTTTCGGCTGCATCCGCCATCTTGTTTGTTTGGGTTACAACGATCAGCGTGATTCTCCCCCTTGATTGTCTAGTGAACCTCTGTCAAGATTGTCCACTGCTTTTTTAAAAACTTTAGTTATGGTTTCAATGAAACAAGTCATTTCTAAATGCCTTGAATGAAAAAATTATGTCTTGTTGAATCATGAAACTTTACAAGACTTGAAAGAATACAAAATCACATGTTTTCAGCTCAACTGTCACAAAGTGAGGTTTTGTGATCACAATTCGTCTGTCCGTCCATCCGTTGTCCCTCCGTCTGTAAACTTTAACTTTAAACGAAATCTCCTCATAAACCACTGTGTCAATTTCATCCAAACTTCACAGGAATGTTCCTTTGGTGGTCACCTTTAAAAATTGTTCAAAGAATTTTATTCCGTGCAAATTTCTGGTTGCCATGGCAACCAAAAGAAAAAACTTAAAAAGTACCAAAGAGCTAGAGCTTAATTGTTTGGGATGAAACATCTTCTAGTGAGTGTCTACAAAGTTTGTTCAAATGAAAACCCTGCGGTCAAAATTGGTCCTGCCCCGGGGGTATATATTAAAAACTTAAAAAATATTCTTTTAAAAAATCCAAATAGTTAGAGCTTAGATATTAACCCTTTCCCCCATGAGCATATTGTGAAAAATGGCCGTTTTCACTGAAAAGCCTCCTGTTACAAGTTCAAACTGCTATGAAACTATGAAAAATGCTTCAATACTAATCAAACTTGGCACAAATGTTGACTGGACCATTGTCTTTGTAACGACATGCTCAGTCTTAAATTTCCTGTTACCATGGCATTGAGGGGACATCTCAAAATTGCCAAAAATCACTATTTTGCCTCGATTTTTTCCATCAAAATTTATTTCAAAGTGCTGCAACTGCTCAAGGGATTGAGATAGAGTCAAAGGTTTTTCAGCGTTGGTTAAACGTTACATTATGATCGACCTGGGGTTATTTTTAGCCTCTCACAAGTCCAAAATTTTCTTGGCGATGAGGGGGACTCCGCCCCCCTTCAAACCCCCCTAACAGAAGGGGGCACATCCCCCTTCTGGCAACCCCCTGATGTATCTTTTGGAAGGGGGGCGGCGCCGAAAAAGTGCTCATTTTTTTAAGCAACATTTCTCAAACGAAAACTTATGTTTGGGGCCCAAATAGGACATTTTTTCACTATTTGAGGCCTAAAAAAGGGGGGGGGGGGTCGAAAGTGCGTTGTTTCGCGTATATATGTGGTAAAGGGTTAAGCATGAAACATCTTTTAGTGAGTGTCTACCAAGTTTGTTCAAATAAAAGTCCTGGGGTCAAACTTGGCCCCGCCACACGGTGTCATTTAGTTTTCTTATATGTGAATTAAAAACTTAATTTAAAAAAAAAAAACCCAAAGAGCTAGAGCTTAGATATTTAGCATGAAACATTTTCTAATGTGTGTCTACCAAGTTTATTCAAATAAATGCCCTAGGGTCAAAATTGACTCCACCCTGGGGGTCATTGATTTTCCTAATATCTATAAATAGTAAAAACTTAAAAAATCCTCCTTTAATAAACACAAAAAAGCTAGAGCTTAGATATTTAGCATGAAACATCTTCTAACAAGTATCTACCAAGTTTGTTCAAATAAAAACTCTTGGGTGAAAATTGGCCCTGTCCCGGGAGGTCCATTGATTTTCCTTATATGTATATAGTAAAAACTTAAAAAATCTTCTGGTGAGTGTCTACCAAGTTTGTTCAAAATTGGCCCCAGGGGTCATTGATTTTCCTTATTTGAACATATACATATATTTTGGAACTGTAAATTGTTTCCTTAAGCAATAGCCACCAGTGATGTTTTTACATATGCACTATTTCAGATACAAATATCAACTTTGTGGTATCAGTTTAAGATTTAGATTTTATATTTGCTTTTGCTTATAGTTTGCTCCTTGTCATGGAGAGTTTATATATTCAGGTGAGCGATTTCAAAGCCATCATGGCCCTCTTGTTAAGAAAAACTACCCTCCAGAAAATGATTAATGTATTATGTTTAAGTGGTGATGAAAGCAACAATCATAAGATAATTGAAGTTATCTATAGATAAAAAACCAACAAATCCAGCGACAAATTGGTGATCAGATGGCGTGAAAGGTTGAACAATCAAAATAGAGGTTAAACTTTTATATTTGCTGATAATTGCAAACTTAATTATAGCTTAAATTTTCCTGTTTCTGCATAATTTTAGTTTTCACACAAATATATTTGCAAGACATGAAAACAATTTTTTTTCTTGTTTATTTCAGCTAATAGATTTAAAGGCAGAATTATTCAGAAAACAGGAAGAGTTCAGAGCTCAGAAGTTACAAAGTCAGAACTCTGGATTTATTAAAGGAAAACATACAATTTCAACAAAGGTAACAGTCAGAAAGTCAGGAATTCTAGTGGTTTTGTAGATTTATTTGGCCTTAGAACTTAACTAATGTGCAGAAGAAAGAATTAAAAAAAACCTTCACATTTTAAGACGATAGGCACCGGAATTAATTTTTCTTCTTCTGTTAACTCGATTTGTTAATGAAAATTAAATGTGTTTTTTTATTGCCTTAACTGAATTTTAGGCTGTGAGCTATTAGGATCAATGAATGTCCAGCGCTGTCCACACTTAGTACGTTCATACTGTAGTGGTCTAGTTGCTTTGAATCGATTGTCACAGAACTTCGGTCAGGATGTTTGTCTCAGTAATTACTTGTATTTACCAAACTGGGATAAAGGAAATTTTTGTTAACACTCTTGAGACTACTTTTTATGCCAAACAATATAAAACAATAGTATGTCAACACAAAAGAATGGTATATATAGTCTTATAGACTTTGGGTGTGTTAACTTTATTCAAACATTTATTTCAGTTTCTTCAACAGTTAAGATTAGGTACTTTATAATAACAAAAATTAACGAAGAAGCAAAATGGTATAGTCATTTCTATATTAACATGTCTGGGGAAGTATGCTCAACTGCTTAGATGATGTAGGTATTGTTAGGGTATTTCACTAGTACGTCAATGAAGTCTGCTTTCTTGTTAACCAGATTTTCCATGAAAACCCGTTATTGTAATGCTGAAGTCTAAGGCGTGCGTGCGTCAACTTTTGGTTTTCGCTAAATAACTTGAGTTTGTTGTGGCCTATTGACACCAAACTTGATGTATGGGTTGCTTATATCAAGATGTGGCTTAGGAATACTACCCAGGTATTTTTGATCATGGTCAATGTCACTGTTGCCAAAAATAGAAATTTAGTTTCGCACAATTTGGCCTATTGATACCAAACTTGATGTATGGCTAGCTTATAACAAGAGGCAGATACCCATATGTCTGTGGTCAAGGTCAAGGTCACTTTTTCTAAAATTATAATTCAGTTTCCGCTTAGTAACTTCACTTTGCTTTAACCTATTGACACCAAACTTAGTATGTGGGTAGCCAATATCAAGACACTACTCTGGATTACTACTGAGGTGACTATGATTAAGGTCAAGGTCACTGTTTCTAAAAATAAAAATTCAGTTTCCACCTAAAAACTTGAGTTAGCTGTGACCTGTTGACAGCGAATTTGGTGTGTGGGTAACTTATATCAATAGGCAACTCAGGATTGCTACCCAGATGTCTGTGATCAAGGTCAATACCAATGTTGCTAAAAATTCAGTCTCTACATAATAAATTGAGTTTGCTTAGACCTTTTGACACCAAATTTAGTGTGTGGGAAGCTAATATCAAGACGTAACTTGGGATTACTATCCAAGTGTCTGTGAACAAGGTCAAGGTTACTGTTGCTTAAAAAAAATAGTTTTCACATAGTAACTTGTGTTTGCTTTGACCTATTGAAACCAAACACGCTGTGTGGGTAGCTTATATTAAGATGCAGGTTGGGATTGCTACTAAGATATCTAGGATTCAAGTCAAGGCCACTTGCTAACAATAGAATTTTCAGCTTCTACTCAATAACTTCAGTACACTTTGACCTATTGATAGTTAACTTGGCATGTGTGTAGCTTGCAAGAAAATACAGCCTGGCATTGCTACTCAGATTATTTTCTGGTATATTTTTATTTTGAACTTTCAGTGTTGGTACAAATAACAGCATCATTTATTCTTCACTGCCATATTTTATTCCTAATTCCTGTCACATCAATACTTGCTCGTTGAAAACCTGATTTTTGTCGCGTTGCTGCGATTTTTATACCCCCGCACAACAAAGTTGTAAGGGGGGTATACTGGAATCAGCTTGTCCGGCCGGCTGTCCGTCGGTTTTTTCTTGTCCGCCCAATAACTTAAGATTCCTTTGACCCTTAGTCTTCATATTTGGCATGGAGGTTAGTCATGATTAGTAGATGACCCCTTTTTGATTTTGAGGTCACCATGTCAAAGGTCAAGGTCACAGAGGCCTTGACTTCAAAAAGCTTGTCCGCCCAATAACTTAAGATTCCTTTGACCCACAGTCTTCATATTTGGCATTGAGGTTAGTCATGATTAGTAGATGACCCCTATTGATTTTGAGGTCACCAGGTCAAAGGTCAAGATCACAGGGGCCTTGACTTCTAAAAGCTTGTCCGCCCAATAACTTAAGATTCCTTTGACCCACAGTCTTCATATTTGGCATTGAGGTTAGTCATGATTAGTAGATGACCCCTATTGATTTTGAGGTCACCAGGTCAAAGGTCAAGGTCACAGGGACTTTGACTTCAAAAAGTTTGTCTGCCCAATAATTTTGGATTCCTTTGACCCACAGTCTTCATATTTGGCATGGATGTTGATCATGATTAGTAGATGACCCCTTTTGATTTTGAGGTCACTGGATCAAAGGTCAAGGTCATAGGGACTGTGACTTCAAAAAGTTTGTCCACCCATTAACTGAAGATTCCTTTGACCCACAGTCTTCATATTTGGCATGGATGTTGATCATGACTATAAGGTGACCCCTATTAATTTTGAGGTCACTGGGTCAAAGGTCACAGGACCTTGACAAAAAAAAAGCTTTTCTTCTCAATTGCTAAAGAATGTCCTGTCCGCAATGTATTGATTTTGACATTTTCACATTTGAAGCATGTAGAATACATAACTTAGCAATGCACTGGCTTAGTAACCTCAGATTTGGCAGGGAGGTTGTCCTTGAGCTCTAAATGGCCACTGTTGATTCTGACAAAGTGGTATGCGGGGGTATTCACGCCATGATAGTGGCAGTTCTAGTTTGTTTTAATGTAAAAATTTATTGATAAAAAGTAAGTTTGATTTCAGAAGTCGAATCTGTCAAGCAAGAAAAATGCTGGTGTTTCACAGAGAGCAAAAAAAGATTATGAGGAGAAAGAAGAAGAGGAAAATGTCTTTGAAAGATCAAGGTTTCATTTAACTTTTAATGAAAATTAATTGTTTAATCCTTTCATCATTATTTCTAAGAAATTACGAAAACCAATATTCTTCATTATGCACTTTTTTCTTATAGTAGCGTATAAACTTACAGTTTTAACTTCATTATACCCCCAAAAACGAAGTTTGGGGGGGTATATAGGAGTCACCCGGTGGTCGGTTGGTCGGTCGGTCGGTCGGTCGGTCGGTCGGTCGGTCCAGACGTCCGTTGCATTTTCCTTGTCCGGACCATAACTTGAAGACTAATGGTTGGAATTCAATATAACTACATACAATGGTCAAGCACATTGAGAGGAAGTGCAGTGCACAAGAACCATAACTCTATCTTGACTAATTACAGAGTTATTGCCCTTTGTTACTTTTCCTTGTCCGGGGCATAACTTGAAAACTACTGGTTGGAATTCAAAACAACTTCATACAATTGTCAAACACAATAAGGGAAGTGCAGTGCACACAAGAACCATAACTCTATCTAAAGTAATTACAGAGTTATTGCCCTTTGTTACTTTTCCATTGCTTTCTTTTGTCCGGACCATAACTTGAAGACTAATGGTTGGAATTCAATATAACTACATACAATGGTCAAGCACATTGAGAGGAAGTGCAGTGCACAAGAACCATAACTCTATCTTGACTAATTACAGAGTTATTGCCCTTTGTTACTTTTCCTTGTCCGGGGCATAACTTGAACACTACTGGTTGGAATTCAAAACAACTTCATACAATTGTCAAACACAATAAGGGGAAGTGCAGTGCACAAGAACCATAACTCTTTCTAAAGTAATTACAGAGTTATTGCCCTTTGTTACTTTTCCATTGCTTTCTTTTGTCCGGACCATAACTTGAAGACTAATGGTTGGAATTCAATATAACTACATACAATGGTCAAGCACATTGAGAGGAAGTGCAGTGCACAAGAACCATAACTCTATCTTGACTAATTACAGAGTTATTGCCCTTTGTTACTTTTCCTTGTCCGGGGCATAACTTGAAAACTACTGGTTGGAATTCAAAACAACTTCATACAATTGTCAAACACAATAAGGGGAAGTGCAGTGCACAAGAACCATAGCTCTATCTAAAGTAATTACAGAGTTATTGCCCTTTGTTACTTTTCCATTGCTTTCTTTTGTCCGGACCATAACTTGAAGACTAATGGTTGGAATTCAATATAACTACATACAATGGTCAAGCACATTGAGAGGAAGTGCAGTGCACAAGAACCATAACTCTATCTTGACTAATTACAGAGTTACTGCCCTTTGTTACTTTTCCTTGTCTGGGGCATAACTTGAACACTACTGGTTGGAATTCAAAACAACTTCATACAATTGTCAAACACAATAAGGGGAAGTGCAGTGCACAAGAACCATAACTCTATCTAAAGTAATTACAGAGTTATTGCCCTTTGTTACTTTTCCATTGCTTTCTTTTGTCCGGACCATAACTTGAAGACTAATGGTTGGAATTCAATATAACTACATACAATGGTCAAGCACATTGAGAGGAAGTGCAGTGCACAAGAACCATAACTCTATCTTGACTAATTACAGAGTTATTGCCCTTTGTTACTTTTCCTTGTCCGCGGCATAACTTGAAAATTACTGGTTGGAATTCAAAACAACTTCATACAATTGTCAAACACAGTAAGGGGAAGTGCAGTGCATAAGAACCATAACTCTATCTAAAGTAATTACAGAGTTATTGCCATTTGTTGCTTTTCCATCGCTTTCTTTTGTCCGGAGTATAACTTGAAGACTAATTGTTGGAATTTATTATAACTTCATACAATGGTCAAGCACATTGAGAGGAAGTGCAGTGCACAAGAACCATAACTCCATCTTGACTAATTACAGAGTTACTGCCCTTTGTTACTTTTCCATTGCTTTTTTTGTCCGGAGCATAACTTGAAGACTAATGGTTGGAATTCAATATAACTTCATACAATGGTCAAGCACATTGAGAGGAAGTGCAGTGCACAAGAACCATAACTCCATCTTGACAAATTACAGAGTTATTGCCCTTTGTTACTTTTCCTTGTCCAGAGCATATCTTGAAAACTACTGTTTGGAATTCAATACAACTTCATACAGTTGTCAAGGACATTAAAAGGAAGTGCAGTGCATAAGAGCCATAACTCCATTTTGACAAAATACAGAGTTACTGCCCTTTGATACTTTTCCTTGTCTGGAGCATAACTTAAAACGTACTGGTTGAAATTCAAAACAACTTCATACAATGGTCAAGCACAAAAAGAGGAAGTGCAGTGCACAAGAACTATAACTCCATCTTCAGTATTTATAGAGTTATTGCCCTTTGTTCCTTTTCTTTGTCTTTCTGGACTTATTACAGAGTAATTCAATAAAACTTCATCAATGGCCAACCACATTGAAAGGAAATGCAATATACAAGAACCACAACTATCTTTAATTGCCCACAACCATAACTCTATATTTCAATTCTTTTACAAGATATTCTGTTACTAGTAACATCCTCATTTCCGAAGCAGTCTTGTGGGGGTATTAATCACATTTAGTGATAGTTCTAGTTTATAACTGTAAAATGAAGAACGCAATTCATTCATGAAGGTGCACGCCAATGATGTCATTTAAAACACGCAACTTGTTTAACATAGGGGAGTGTAAAACAGTAGATAATCCTGTCTGATATGCAAGAAAATCCTATCAGACATGAAAAGGTTACACTGACAAATCTATGCTCTTTGACTGACATATCTATGCTGTTAGACTGACAAATCTATGGTGTTAGACTGACATATATATCTATGCTGTTAGGCTGACATATATATCTATGCTGCTAGACTGACATACATATCTATGCTGCTAGACTGACATATCTATGCTGCTAGACTGCCATATATATGATTTTAGATTGACATACATATCTATGCTGTTAGGCTGACATATATATCTATGCTGCTAGACTGACATACATATCTATGCTGCTAGACTGACATATCTATGCTGCTAGACTGACATACATGTCTATGCTGCTAGACTGACATATCTATGCTGCTAGACTGACATATATATGATTTTAGATTGACATACATATCTATGCTGTTAGGCTGACATATATATATCTATGCTGTTAGACTGACATACATATCTGTGCTGTTAGACTGACATACATATCTGTGCTGTTAGACTGACATATATATCTATGCTAATAGACTGACATATCTATGCTGTTAGACTGACATATATATCTATGCTGTTAGACTGACAAATCTATGGTGTTAGACTGACATATTTATCTATGCTGTTAGACTGACATATATATCTATGCTGTTAGACTGACATATATATCTATGCTGTTAGACTGACATATCTATGCTGTTAGATTGACATATATATCTATGCTGCTAGACTGACATATATATCTATGCTGTTAGACTGACATATATATCTATGCTGTTAGACTGACATATCTATGCTGTTAGACTGACATATATATCTATGCTGTTAGACTGACTTACATAACTTTGCTGTTAGACTGACATATATATCTATGCTGTTAGACTGACATATATATCTATGCTGTTAGACTGACATATATATCTATGCTGTTAGACTGACATATCTGTGCTGCTAGATTGACATATATATCTATGCTGTTAGACTGACATACATATCTGTGCTGTTAGACTGACATATATATCTTTCCTGCTAGATTGACATACATATCTGTGCTGTTAGACTGACATATTTATCTATGCTGTTAGACTGACATACATATCTGTGCTGTTAGACTGACATATATATCTATGCTGTTAGACTGACAAATCTATGGTGTTAGACTGACATATATATCTATGCTGTTAGACTGACATATATATCTATGCTGTTAGACTGACATATATCTATGCTAATAGACTGACATATCTGTGCTGCTAGATTGACATATATATCTATGCTGTTAGACTGACATATATATCTATGCTGTTAGACTGACATATATATCTATGCTGCTAGACTGACATACATATCTATGCTGCTAGACTGACATATCTATGCTGCTAGACTGCCATATATATGATTTTAGATTGACATACATATCTATGCTGTTAGGCTGACATATATATCTATGCTGCTAGACTGACATACATATATATGCTGCTAGACTGACATATCTATGCTGCTAGACTGACATACATGTCTATGCTGCTAGACTGACATATCTATGCTGCTAGACTGACATATATATGATTTTAGATTGACATACATATCTATGCAGTTAGGCTGACATATATATATCTATGCTGTTAGACTGACATACATATCTGTGCTGTTAGACTGACATACATATCTGTGCTGTTAGACTGACATATATATCTATGCTAATAGACTGACATATCTATGCTGCTAGACTGACATATATATCTATGCTGTTAGACTGACAAATCTATGGTGTTAGACTGACATTCTTATCTGTGCTGTTAGACTGACATATATATCTATGCTGTTAGACTGACATATATATCTATGCTGTTAGACTGACAAATCTATGGTGTTAGATTGACATATATATCTATGCTGCTAGATTGACATACATATCTGTGCTGTTAGACTGACATATATATATCTATGCTGTTAGACTGACATACATATCTGTGCTGTTAGACTGACATATATATCTATGCTGTTAGACTGACAAATCTATGGTGTTAGACTGACATATATATCTATGCTGTTAGACTGACATATATATCTATGCTGTTAGACTGACATATATATCTATGCTGTTAGACTGACATATCTGTGCTGCTAGATTGACATATATATCTATGCTGTTAGACTGACATACATATCTGTGCTGTTAGACTGACATATATATCTTTCCTGCTAGATTGACATACATATCTGTGCTGTTAGACTGACATATTTATCTATGCTGTTAGACTGACATACATATCTGTGCTGTTAGACTGACATATATATCTATGCTGTTA